GCAGGGYACAGGAACCTCCTGGATGGTTCCTAAGTAGGTTGATTTGGGATCTGCTTGGAGGTGCCCATGGTTGGCAWTTCTTTCAGATAAAAAATGGAGCAAAAAAAGTAGCTAAAAATTCTGCATGTGGGAAATCTGATCAGCCTGGTATCCCAAGCTGATGCTCAGACCCAGAGGCATGACATGTCCACAGCCTGGACTGGAGAGATGTCCCCTGCTGGGACATGTCCCATGGATGTGGGCCAGACTCCATGACCTTTTCCAGCAGCRTTTGGGAGTAGCACAAGGCACCAAATGGACCTAAACATCATAAGGGCTCGGGGGAAGAAAGGGAGAACTGCCAGGCTGGCATTTGGAGTTGGCAAAGTTGGGGTAGTCACAGGAAAGGAGTTTCAAGGGTGCTGGACTGGGACAGGGTCTCGCTGGGGAGAACAGTGTTGGGGTGAAGTGAAGAAAATAAGACACTCTTGAATYAAGGCTTTACTACAAGAGGCACCAAATCTTCCACTATTAACTAGATTATTAAAGTAAAACACTTTTTTTGTAATGAAAAACAAATGAGCTGTGAGCCCGAACTACCAATACTTGATGGGAAGAGCATGGCCAGCATAAAAATGATGTCTCAAGGGACTGGCCAAAAAACATACATCCCAAATCCCAGAAAATCATTAAAGTCCCAAAATAAGCTAAAAAGCTCTGAAATATCAACAACAACCTTATTTCTTCCAAGGAGACAAAAGTTTGTTATTTCAGCAAATTTGGGGTTAAAGAACTAAAAATATGTTGGTCCCACATGCTTTGGAGCAATGAYTCAGCTAATCCAAACAGAGCAGTTAATCATTCACCAGGTGACCAAAAGATCCCTCACATGTGGTGAAGTGACAGAGCCTTGAACTTCATCCCATCATTATCTAAAGAGAAGTAACTCCAAAACACTCTGTGATTTGTCCTGCAGCTGGACAKGGAAGAACCACTCAAATCCCAAGGCTCCTTCCCYTCACAGTAGCYYCAGAGCAAATTATCCCATCATATCYMCCTCAAATGTTTTCAGAACACTTCTACAAAGGTCTGTGCTGCACAAGGCAAGGAGCAACAAGTCCTCTCTCATAGTTGCTTATTATCAGAAAGACACCTGACTAGTTAAAAATGCCAGGGAAAAGGATTGTTCTCCTGCCCATCAGTGTATGACATATTCCAAGGAAGGAATCTTCAGCCTTGGAAACCTTTGCTAAGTTACTCTTGTCTAAGCGTGAGAACAGGAAAACAGCTCAGGGGCCAAAGTGTTGCAAAAAAAGTAATCTAGCCCTGCAGTCCCTCACTCCCAGCAGGCTCATCACATTGGCATCTGCAAAACCAGGTACAGAAATGTGCATGGGAACAAGGGCACACTCCAACCTGCCTATACACGTGAATGTTCAGGGTTTTAAGGGCTCTGTGGTTCACCTGAGGTATTAAAAAGCAATATATAAAGCTTAWTGCTTAAAAAGCTTAACCAGCCCATTTCACAACCTGAAGGTATTTGGATGAACCTTTTAAACAAAAACTCAACAGCCACTTCAGTTGGTGAGCATCCAGTGGAGGATGCAAATCCTAACAAGCAACCCTAAAAGCTGGACACAAACTTTAAAACTGGAAACAAACTTTAAAAAATACTACTTTTACGTCTAAGTCAGAAAAATCCTGCAATTAAAGCATAAGAGAATTTCAAAAGCTATACCAGTATTTAGGCAAAGAGGAAGGCACTGGGGATGCTTATCCCTGTTAACCCAATTTCAGTTGTCTTGTTTCTTGAGATGGATTGTCCCCGCAACTTGGTCAGTAGGGGTGACTTAGAGCCTGCAATCAAATACTGTGTGTTACATCCCAAATCTTTTATCGTACGCACCTCAGCTCATCTGTCAGCTCCAAAACATTGTGGGTAACAGTGTGAAGCAAAAAATTAAGAAAGAAAAATCATCTAAAGAGAAGGAAAATGTGAGGAAAGAAAGGAAGGATTTTTGCATACAAACAACTGTAAAACTACGGGAAGTTGTGCTGGGGAAGATCAATTTAAGCACAAAATGTTTAAAGAGGCAAAGATAACTTGAAATGATCAGTCAGAACTGTATAAACCAGAAGGGTTTTCATGTAATCCAATAAAATGAATGTCCCCTCTCTGTGTTAACAGCCCCTATAGCTGCTGTGCACTACAGAAGGGCTTGATGAGCTTGACTTCCCCAAAGACAGTATCTGTCCTTAAAATGTGCCCATCTGTGTTGGCTCCCTGTGGAAATAAATCTGTGAGTCTCAGTGTGCAAGGACTGAGCGCTCCTATGATCATAAATTCCTTGAATAGAGAAAGCAAATACAGACAAGTTTTTCCTACCAATAGTCCCTACATGACACAAGAAGAGTTGAATTAAGGTTTTAATCAGCTGAGGCTGCAAAACCAACAGGTGAGGATACACTGYTTCTCATTCCAATGTGCTTAATGCCCTGACCTGCTAAATCTGCTGCATCCTTTCTGGATAATGTTGGTTTMGAGAGAGCCATTCCAGCCACAGAACATTTCCCGGTGAGTGCTGTGTGACCCACTGGAGCTATCCGTCACTTTGCTTTTTCCCTGACAGACACAGTGAACTTGCCCAGCATCCAAGGGGCTGTGTGGGCTGTGGAGTCTCATCTGAAGGACCAGGGCTTGAACCTGCTCATCAACAATGCAGGCATCAGCTCCCACGCCACACTGCGCTCCCTCGACTCGCAGGAGATGCTCGACGTGTTTGCCACCAATGTGGTGGGGCCACTCCTGGTTGTCAAGGTACATGTGGACATTTTGGGTTTCTCCTGCTTGGGAAGATGTTCCTCAGTGGGACTAAGGTCGTCTCCATGGATCTCTCTTGGCCACCCAGAGAGCTCAGCAGCTCAGCCCAACCCCAGCATCCCCTATGYTTTGTTCTTCCCTACCTGGAGCTTCTGCCTGCACCAGACTCGCTGTTCTGGCTCACTCCTTCCCTGGGCAGAGGGGCTGGAACCTGGCCCCTCCTTGGGGCATCTTCCTCATCCCCTGTGCTTCTGCCAGGAGTGTCTGTCCATCTGCTTGTCCATGTCTGTGAGACAGCCCTTCAGGAAGGTCTTCAAGCTGGGGGTCTGTCACATCTTAATGGAGCATTGSTGTCTTTGCATCAGGAATTTCTGCCGCTGCTGGAGCAGGCAGCGAAGAGTGCAGSGAAGGARGGTCTGAGCTGCAGCAGGGCTGCTGTCATCAACATCTCCACCAARCTGGGCTCCATCGGGCTGTGCCTCGGGCTGCCAGAGGYYCCCATGTACCCGTACCGGGCCAGCAAGGTGAGGTGCCAGGGGAGGTGCTGGGGATGCTGTGCCAGRCACGGAGCCCATGGAGGGGAGGGAGCCCATGGGGCACCCCCTGCCCCAGCCACRCACCCCCTGCCTGGTTCTCCCAGGAAGCACAGAGACTGGGACAGCAGCACTGGGGACTSAACCTCTCAGGAGAGTTGTGCTGATGTTTTGTCCCAGGACCGAGTCCCATTYCCCACCTCCACAGCCATTTTCTGGCTGGGAAATGTCCCCTCTCCTGCCCACCCACACCCTGGGTTGTGCTAGCAGGGSTGTGCCTCTTCCAGGCTGCCCAGAATATGGTGACGAGGTGCTTGGCTGCGGAGCTCCAGGACAAGGGGATCTTGTGTGTGGCCATCCATCCTGGCTGGGTGAAGACTGACATGGGCACAGAGAAGGTACTGGGCTGTGCAGGGAGGGTTGGCAAGAACCCCACTGCATCCCCAATTCTTGAGGAGGGCAGAGGTACTTGGGGGATGCTGTATGACAGTGTGGGCTGCCAGGACCATCTGCTGGGGCAGACCAGGCAGGGAGCAGTCAGCAAGCTGCAAAATGGGATGCCATGTACATGGGATAGCCAGCCCCGTCTTCCCAACCACCCCTGGAGAACAGAGGTGAGGCAGTAAGGAAAAATATCCCCATAAGCACCTGCCCGATGTTGCTCCTGAGCCATGCACCCTCCCCAAGAGCTGCTCYCTATTACAGTCCATTGTCCTCTTCTGCAGGCACCTCTGACAGTGGAGCACAGTGTGAGGGGCATCCTGACTGTGCTGGCCAGCCTCTCACAGGCCACCTCTGGAGCTTTTCTTGACTGGGAAGGGAACAGCCTGCCCTGGTGATGGAGAGATGGACAACGACCCTTGCTCATGCTGCAGCCTCTGCTCGCTGGTTCACCCCTCTTCATGGTCACCCTGCTCACACACCACACTGCTGGGGAGAGGGAAAGGGCTTGGAAAACAGCTTCTCTCCCTTTTCCCCCACCACCCATGTGCCCCTGTGGTCTCTCTATACCCCCCATCTCTATAAACTCTGGCAGCTGATGCCTCT